TCCTGGGTTCAAGCAATTCTCCTGCCTCAGCCTCCCGAGTAGCTGGGACTACAGGCGCGTGCCACCATGCCCAGCTAATTTTTGTATTTTTTTTTATAGCTGCATAGTATTGCGCCGGATTAAAGTCTCATTATTTAGCAGTTCTTTGTTGACAGGTGTTTCCAGTCTTTCATTATTATAAATAATGCTGCAATAAATAACATTATGCATATGTCATTTTATCCCAGTAAAATATTTTTATATAATAAATTTCTAAAAGTAGGATTATTGGGCTAAATAGTATATACATCAGTAATTCTGATAAAAAGGAAATTCCCCTCTATAGGGGTAATAATAATTTGTACTCCCACAAGCAAGAGACTGCTGTTTTCCCCTAAAGCCTCATAAACATCGTGTGTGGGCAACTTTTTACATATTTCTTTTCTTTTTTTTTTTTTGAGATGAAATCTTGCTCTGTCGCCAGTCTGGAGTGCAGTGGTGCAATCTCAGCTCACTGCAACCTCTGCCTCTTGGGTTCAAGCGATTCTTCTGCCTCAGCCTCCCGAGTAGCTGGGACTACAGGCGCACACCACCATGCCCAGCTAATTTTTGTATTTTTAGTAGAAATGGGTTTTCACAATGTTGGCCAGGATGGTCTCTATCTCTTGACCTCATGATCTGCCTGTCTCGGCCTCCCAAAGTGCTGAGATTACAGGCATGAGCCACCGCGCCCGGCCTTTTTACATATTTCTAATCTGGTAGAAGAAAAATGGTATCTCAGCAAAGCTATAATTTGCATTTCTCTTAAGGAAAATGAGACTGAGCAACTATTCATTTTTTGCTTTTGCTTGCATTTTATTTTCTATATATATGATATATATATATGTTCCCAAAGAATATAAAGAGATAGTTATATATATGTACACACACACACACACACACACACACACACGCGCATATATATATATATATATATATATATTTAGTTCTCACTATGTTGCCCAGGCTGGAGTGTGGTGGCTATTTGTAGGTGGGATCATCAGGCACGACAGTCTGGAACACCTGGGTTCAATCAATCCTCCTACCTGAGCCTCTTGTCCTTGCCTATTTTTGTACTGAGCATTTTTTCTTATAAAATTCTTTTGCGCCGGGCGCGGTGGCTCAAGCCTGTAATCCCAGCACTTTGGGAGGCCGAGGCGGGTGGATCACGAGGTCAAGAGATCGAGACCATCCTGGTCAACATGGTGAAACCCCGTCTCTACTAAAAATACGAAAAATTAGCTGGGCATGGTGGTGCGTGCCTGTAATCCCAGCTACTCAGGAGGCTGAGGCAGAAGAATTGCCTGAACCCAGGAGGCAGAGGTTGCGGTGAGCCGAGATCGCGCCATTGCACTCCAGCCTGGGTAACATGAGTGAAACTCCGTCTCAAAAAAAAAAATAAAATAAAATAAAAATAAAATAAAATAAAATAAAATTCTTTTTTTTTTTTTTTTTGGGACAAAGTCTCACTCTGTTGCCCAGGCTGGAGTGAAGTGGCAGGATCTCTGCTCACTGCAACCTTCATCTCCCCGGTTCAAGCAATACTCCCACCTCAGCCTCCCAAGTAGCTGGGATTACAGGCACTCGCCACCACGCCTGGCTAATTTTTGTATTTTAAGTAGAGACAGGGTTTCAGCATGTTGGCTGGTCCCAAACTCCTGACCTCAGGTGATCTGTCCACCTTGGCCTCCTGCTGGGATTACAGGCGTGAGCCACCGCACCCGGCCTCTTCCTGCTCTTTATCAGTGCCTCTTTGTGTCTGTGTGTGTGTGTGTGTGTGTGTGTATGCACGTGGGTGTGTGTGTATGTTTATTTACAAAGTAATTACAAAATAATTGTATTAAACTTACTCCATCCCTGTGGCAGTTTGTAAGTGCACTTTCCTATCTCTTGCACAGCTCCCTGAGCTTCTTCTGTCTTCCAAGGATGGTGAATGAGGTGCTGACATGGGAGTCTCCAAGTTCCCAGCCTGCTCATCCCCACAGCAGCTTCATTCTCTCCTTGGCCCCCCTCCCCCATCCACTTTTGTCCTACCCCTCATCCACCCCTCCAGAGACATCACACTCTAGGTTTCACAGGGCTTCAGAATCTTGTTGGGAACCTGGATCATCACCTTATCCCCCGAAAGAGTCCTGGTTTCCCTGTTTCTGTTTTTTGGAAGACTAGGTCCCAATATATCAACGTGGATTCAAGATCTCTCAAAGTGATCAAGTGGTCGGTGAAAAGGAAAAAAAAAAGGCAAAAAAAGTTTTCTTCAAAGCTGGGTCCAGGGGAGACACCACATAAAGCTGCTCTGTGGATGTCTAAAATTCCCCTGAAAATCTCAGTTTTTTATTAGACTCTTTCAATAGGGGAGGGGGAGTGAGGCCATACAACAGTGTGGCAATGATCATACAAAAAGAATACATTTGCAAAACTGGTTCACAAAAATCACAGCGTGATATTGTAAAAGCAGAACAACGTAAAGATAGCTTTCTGTGTGTCAGCATAGAAACCATACACCTTAGCAAGAACAGAGGTTAAACATAAACTTATAATCATCAGCAAGAAAAGCATTGGGCTCACAGCTGCAGGGGCAACAGGATCTGACACAGGACAACCAGCCCGACCACAAAACTGCAAGAGAGGGGAGCCCCCCAAGCAGGCCTGGAGGAGCAGCGGGAGAAGAAAGACTTTCACATCCTTATCTCCACCACAGAGGTTTTTCCTTACGACAGACGCCCCCCTCATGCGTCCATTTACAGGCTCGCCATAAAGGTTGCATTCCCTTCCCAGGGCCGTAATCAATATGCCTTTCCTGGGAAAGGAATCTGGGCAATAAGCCTCTCCATTACACGTCCGTTTCTAGGCTCTCTGCAACGGAGAAGCTTACTATGTGTTGTCATCTCTCTCCGGCACAGCCTACGTGGCTTGTCTCTTCAAGTTCCTGTTTTTACAAGAACAGCTCAGTGGAGCCAAAGTTACAAACTACATTTTAACTTTTCACATTATTCTTCATTTTCTCAAATATAATCAATACAGTAAGTAACAGGCATCACAAAGCAAGTAACTCATTTCCGGGAAACCAAATTCTAAGAGAATTTACAAGTTAAAATTCAACAATTTCTTCTTGTTATTTCAGATAGCTCGGGCTTTGCCAGTTCCTCCAGAAGTTTGGAGTTGCTCAGTCACCACCAAGGGGTCCACAGTGTTCCCAGCATCTGTTAGTGACATAGCCGGGAGGGACATCCAGGACTTGCCTGGGAGTTGTTGCTGGCCCACGCCTCAGGTCTGCTAAGCATTTCCTGAATCACCTTAATGTCTGGCCTTCCATCTTCTCCTGTTCTTCCTTACCTGGACTCTAACCCCTCCCTACAGCATGAGTAGAGGGGCTGTTTGTCACATTCTACCCATCCTTCATCCCCAGGACACCCCCTCTTTTCCTCCTGGAAGCCCTCCTCCCTCTCCGGCCACTCCTCCAGACCTCAGGTTAAAGCCCCACCCTCCAGGAAGCCGGCTCTCACCTTTCACGTTGGCCAAGTGCCCTGGACACCTAAGCTGCGGGCATTTCTCTTTCCACCTTATAATTTCCGGCTTCGTCCTGTCTCTCCTACTGACCACACCTTGAGAGCAGGACTGTCTTCTCCACTGATGTACTTCGAGAGCCTGCACAAAAGAGTGTGTGGGCTAAAGCAACCAATGGTTCTCCCAGCTAATGTGACTGCCCCTTATTTGGAACCTTTGAAGCTCTACATCCAGGATGTCTCTGGAGGGCCACAGTGTTCCAGATGGAATTGGAACCCTCCCAGGTCTGATGCGCAAACTTTTTACCTTGACTGTCTTCCTACCACCCTCTTCCGTCACCGAGGCCCTCTACAAACTTCAGTTTACTCATCTCTCAAGGAAGAGAACAGTCAGGGGAGAAGTATAAGGGCCAATTGAACCATATACGTGTAAATAATAATGTGATAAGGCTGTGTGGCCACTGCCACATCGTCCGCTGCAGGTGGCGTTGGTGTGCTTGAGCAACCAGAACTGGAGCATGGAGGTGCACAACATTCTCAGCAAACGGGGATTCCGCGTCCAGTCCTTTGGAACAGGGACTCACGTGAAGCTTCCAGGACCAGCTGCAGACAAGCCCAATGTTTATGATTTCAGAATCCCATATGACAGGACGTACAATGATCTTCTTAGGAAAGACAAGGAACTCTATACACAAAATGTCATTTTGCATATGCTAGACAGAAACAAGAGAATCAAGTCCCGGCCAGAAAGGCTCCAGAACTGCACAGACCTGTTTGATCTGATCCTCACTTGCCAAGAGAGAGTGTACGACCAGGTGGTGGAAGATCTGAATTCCAGAGAACAGGAGACCTGCCACCCAGTGCACGTGATCAATGTGGACATCCAGGACAAGCACAAGGAGGCCACCCTGGGGGCATTTCGCATCTGTGAGCTCTGCCAGTGTATCCAGCACACGGAGGACATGGAGAACCAGATTAATGAGCTGCTGCAGGAGTTTGAGGAGAGGAGCGGGCTTACCTTCCTGCACAGTGTGCTTCTACTGAGCATGGAGCCCTCCTGGGCCACCTTCTCCAGCTTCCTTTTGTTCATACTTTCTCCTCCCTGACGTTTGTTTTTACTTATAGGTGTTCTGCTGGTGACGGTAGCGTTACCCAGATAAACTGTGCATATGAAACGGGAGGAGATGTCTAAATGCCACATTAAAGCAATCAAGTTTTTTCCTTCCCACTTTTAGAGCAGGATATTGATGGTAGTATTTTTCTTTAACCAAAATGGAAAGACAGCAGTTTGTGTTCACTTCCCTGCCTCCGGGCACCCCCTCCCTCCCTCCTCCCCACCTGGCCAGACCGCACAGACTCCGCTGCCACCATGTTAGGAATGACCTGGAATTGTCCAATAAATAAATGCTGCTGTCAAAATAATGATAATAATAATAATGTGATAAGCCAGATGTGGTGGCTCACACCTGTAATCCCAGCATTTTGGGAGGCCGAGGCGGGCAAATCACGAGGTTAGGAGTTCAAGACCAGCCCGGCCAACATGGCGAAACCCCTGTCTCTACTAACAACACAAAACAATAGCTGGGCATTGTGGTAGGCGCCTGTAATCCCAGCTACTTGGGAGGCTGAGGCAGGAGAATTGCTTGAACCTGGGAGGTGGAGGCTGCAGTGAGCAGAGATCACGCCATTACACTCCAGCCCAGTGATAGCATGAGACTCAGTCTCAAATAATAATAATGTGGTAAATGAATATGAGTTATGGGGTATAACAAAAAATGCTACTAGTCTGAATATTTACATTGTCATGTTTTCTTTATTTTTTTATTTTTCTTTTTTTTTCAGATGGAGTCTCGCTCTGTTACCCAGGCTGGGTATGATCCCAAAGTGCTGGGATTACAGGAGTGAACCACTATGCCCAGCCTGACATGCTTTCTATACCAGAAACCATTCTAATATTTAACCTGTATTTTGCCCTTAATCCTAACAAATTGGCTCCATTTCACAGAAAAGTGAACTGAGGCACAGAGTGGCTAATGACTTATTTGCCTAAAATACCATACTGGCAGTAGCGGAGCTGGGATTTGCACGTGGGCACCATAGCTCCATAGTCCATTTGCTTAACTATCACCCCATATTGTCTTTCTATGAAATCTATTACTATTACTTGATCTCAGAGCTGCCCTCTCCACCAAAAATGAATCCAGTCACACAGCCGCTCTCTTCCAGCATGATTCTAACTCTAATAATTAATTCTGGCCCACCACAGTGGCTCACACCTGAAATCCCAGCACTTTGGGAGGCCAAGGCCAGCAGATCACCCAAGGTCAGGAGTTCGAGATCAGCTTGGCCAACATGGTAAAAACCTGTCTCCACTAAAAATTCAAAAGCAGCAGGATATGATGGCACATGCCTGTAATCCCAGTTACTTCAGAGGCTGAGACAGGAGAATTGCTTGAACACAGGAGGCGGAGGTTACAGTGAACTGAGATCGTGCCACTGCACTCAAGCCTAGGAGACAAGTGCAAAACTCCAT